TATATATATTTTTTTTTTGGGAAATAGTGTACGATGTCAATTGCGCATTTTCACAAGGAGCAGTCTTATTTGAAATTTTGAATTTTAAACTGTATGTGCTGGCATTCTAAATAGTCGTAATTTTCTTTTCGTCTATTATGCTTTTTTTTTTTTTGGTGTTATGGGTAAGTTGGTAAGCGTTTTGTTATTGAGTAATTTCGACATTTTGATGTCTTTTATGACCAGTAATCTCTCGTTTACTTTTCAGTATTAAGGTTTTGTATAATATTATGCAGTGCAAATGAAGTCTATCAGTTTTTTGCACTGATAGTTATGTTGGTAACTTATCGATTGATTCTGTCGATTCTATCGTCTGATTTTCGCATGAACACGGCAGCTTCTTTTTTCGGTGCGTTCCATTGTAAGAGTAGACTGGGAACTTTTTTTCATATTTCTGGATTTGAGAGGAAGGTGAAGGTATTTCTAAATACAGTTAAAGGTATGAAAATGAACTTTTTATAGTACTATCGTGCAACGGAAAGAAAAAAGTAGGTTTTGTGAAGAGAGCAACTGAAATACTGAAAGTGCTATCTGAGAACATTCAAAAAATGCAGCTTGTTGCTTTGAGCACTTGAAAACATCAAACTTAAAGAATAGCTACCAAGGTGAAACAATTTAGAATACGGGAGGGGAATATGACTGGTTGGTACCTATGGTTTTTTAAAGAAGCCGTCTTTTGATGGCTTTGCTTCTAAACCTTGATGGTCAAAAGATTTATAGTTATAAAACAGACAAGTGGTTTCCTATGGAACAGTGGAGTTCTGCCACTAAACAAGTCAATCAGTGCTTTCTGGTTTCTGAATGTGTTTTAAGCGTTGGGCTACTTCGTACATTTAAGTACATTTAAGTTGCTTGCAACAATGGAGGTCAATTATTTTAATAGAGGCGGACAGCTAAACACCAATCTTTGACTGTAGTTTGGGGCTGCAGAAGCTGTAGACGGTGGCACGGCGAGAAGTTTATTTGTTTGGATTTTATCTGGAACCGATTAGTATCACTTGTTAGTTTCTTTGAGAGCCTAGTACTCAGAGTATTTCTAACTGTAGAGAGTTATAGCGGATGGTTTGTTTACTCATATTTATCGTTGTTATCTTACTGTGCATGAGATACTCCATAACTAAGCATCCTGAAGGGATCAGCAAAATTTTTTGGAGCAAAAGATAGGGGTTGGCTATCAATGATTAAAGAAACTAATGAAGTTAGGAATTTTTTTTAATAAAATGCATTGTTTGGTAGTCTGACGCGATGCATTTTTTTAGTGTTTGTGAAGCTGTACTGTAACTGTTTGGGTTTGTTGGAATATTGTGTTCAGTTTTACTAAAAGTAAATGGAAAGCCTTTCAGCGCGATATGTGGTTATGGTTGCTGCTTGACAAACTTCGCACTCACTTAATTAGTTCACAAGCAACTTCTAATGAGGGAGAGACCCAACGGCAATTAAAATCTGAAGAGTAAGTGGTTGAAATGAAAAAATTTTTCGAACCAAGTTTAAAACTTAGCTGTATCTGTTTTAATTGTTGAAGTTGGTTCTTGCTTTTTGGTGCGTATCATATCTTCTCTGCGCATTTTAAACCTTTGGTTGTCTTTATTTATTATTCTAGAATATTTTTTTCTAATCGTTTCAGATTGAAAAATGATGGAAGAAGTGGAATTAAGAAGTTCAGAAGTCAAGCCCTGTTCTAAAATCTTTCACCTAAAGCTTATTTAATGTGTTTCAGAAAGACTCTCTAGTTGAGTTTGAACAGGGTCGCGTTTAAAAAGATCTCAACTTTTTTTGCTTTAAGGATATGTTGTAGGAATCGTTGGACTTGGATTACTACATCACCTGAAACGTTGGCTGAGGCTGAAAGCAAACTGTTATCGATTGTAAAGGCCAATATAACTTCCAGATACACGGAAGTGGTCAGTAACAGCCATTTTGCTTAAGCGTTGTTGCTTTCCTTTTCGTTCAGTTTTGCTTATTTTGCCGGTAGTTAAAAATTACATTTCTTTAATTTTTATATTTTAGAATTTTCAATTTGTCAATTTTCTTATGAAAAGATTGACAATGAATAAAATTCGGTAATGAATATCTCTGAAATGCCAGTGATATAATAGTGTTTACATATACATTATTTCTAGAACCGGTTGAATAATGACCAAAGTGGAAGAATTCATTCAATAACCGTGAAGATGTCGGATGCCTCTGATAATAAAATACCTGTAGTTTTTCTGCATGGGTTTGCCTGTGGCCTTGCCTTGTGGGCAAACAATATTGACTGCGTTGCCAAAACTCATACCGTTCATGCACTGGATCTTCTAGGTAAGCAGTTTTATCCCGTCCAGCTGCAGCACTACTATCACTTTTCAGAGGTATATACTGGATGTAATACTTTGTTAAAACAAACTTTTCTTTTGGATTTTTGAACGACTCTGCTTAGGATTCGGGCGCTCGTCACGGCCGAATTTTCACACGAGAGCCTCAATATGTGAGGCGGAAATGTGTGATGCTATAGACGATTGGCGAAAGGAGATGAATATTGATCGGATGATACTGGTTGGACATTCGTTCGGTGATTATTCTGACTTTTCAGTCTTCAGCATATTGAAAGACTGTTCATTGTGCTTCCTGAATGTTGCCTAAGTCCATGAAATGTGAGAGTCAATTAAATTAAAAGGGTTTTTTTACTTTCAGGTGGTTTCATTGCTTGTGCATACGCGCTAACATTTCCGGAACACTTAAGACACTTGGTCTTACTAGATCCTTGGGGGTTTTCTGCAAAACCGCTTGAAGAGCCACCACATTCGTTCGGTTTAAGTGTAAGTTTACTCGGTTTTTATCGTTTGTGTAGGTTGTAGCTTTATTTAATGCTTTCTTGTATTAAATCATAAATAGTCTGAGAACTGTATTCTCTTTGAGTTTCTTCCATCTACCTGTATAGTACTGTTGGGATAATGTTGGTAATGCAGGCGAAGACAATTGCTTGGATTAAAACCATGGCCTCAGCTATTGGTGCCGCAAATCCTTTGGCCGTTGTTCGCTGTGCTGGTCCATATGGTAAGCGAAGCAAAAACGGAAGAAAACTAACACTTCTTTTGTTACAGACATCTTTGTGTGTTGCATGGTTTCCGTTTAGGGATCGAAGTTCTTCGCAAACTTTATCCTAATCTCGGCCCACGATTTTTAAAAGAAAATCCCAATGCATTTTACGAGTACTTGTACCACTGTAACGTACAAAATCCGACGGGTGAAGTCGCGTATACAACTATGAGTTATTCCTTTGGTTGGGCTAAACATCCAATGTTAGAAAGGTCAACTTGAATTAAAAAAACTGTTTTGAAGATGGAGTATCGTTGTAGTTTTCGAATAGAAAAAAGTAACAACATTACTTGTCAAAATGGTAGTTTCTTTAAGGATATTTGACCTGCCCTCTTACGTTCCAGTAACATTTTTCTACGGGAGTAAAAGCTGTATTGATTCCGCTGCTGGTCTTGAAGTTCAAATGCAGAGGCCTGAAGGTTATGTGGACGTACAGGTTTCAGTTTTACTTGTTTTTTATCAACATTTGATGGGTTCAAATCTTTTACTGAAGATGTCACTTTTTTGTAGTTTAGCAGACAAAAAGCCGGTAAACCTTCTTGTCCCTTTGCCTTTGGGATTTTAGGTAGTACGTGGTGCAGGCCATTATTTACATATCGATGCAACGGATGCCTTTAATAGTGCCTTCACGAAATTGTTGGAAGCAGTTGACGCTGAGGAGGATATCTTGGAATATGATTCGGAATAAATAGAGGTTTTAGTAATCCTGTTCATTTGTTCACTTCATCGTCTACTGTTCACAGTGACCTGCTACGAAATGAGAGTAGAGGGACTTACACAACGGGAGAAGGAGTCCGGTGATACAATCTTCTAAAAGCTGTTAGACGAACTTAGAATACCATACATGGCATTTTGGATCTTTTTTCAAGCGCTGTAGTTTACGAAGTTGTGGAAAATTTTCATTTGTTTCACCATGTCATCCACAAAAACTTCGTACTGTCATGGTAACTATAACATAAGATTTCAGGATTGAGATGAATCTCCTGAGTGAGATCTAAATGACAGACCAGAATGGTTATCGGAAACTTCGTGATTTAAGCTTTTTTGAACCAAAATCTTCGTTGGTTTGAAGCTAGAGTGGAATCCAGAAGCTTTGGGTAAGATAAACAATCCAGACTAATAGGTACTGCAAGCAGCTATTCATTTTCGGGAAGAAGAACGCCTTGAAGCTCTTTTCCAGTAATTCTAACATTTCACTGGGAATTCTTTATTGTTGTGTTGTTAAATCTGGTTGAAATAGAATGTATCCTGATGTTTTCCTCTCAGCAATTAGCTGAGTAACAAGGAAGAATCTCATCTATTTAGCATCTTGTGTGCACAACTGGACGTTGAGAGTTCTGAAGGCACAATTTTTTTAAACTGTGGTTTTGTTTGAGACTGAAAAATTTTTTTGGAGGGCTCGCTATTATTATATAGAAATGTTTTGCACACAGTGAGGTGCACAGAAGATGCCGAAAGGAGTAGCCGTCATGTACAGCTAAGGTTTTTAAAACCAATTTGCGTTATCGCGCTAGGTAGTAAAGTTCTTAGTTTAGGTGGGAAGAAGTCCATAAAAATTTCATATCGTTATTCTAATATTTCCTTCAAGTTTGATCTGTTGTTAAGTCCTGTCTACGACACTCATAGCGCTCGCTTTGCTATTTTCTTTTCTTCCGTGACTGTACGAACAAGAAATGTTAATAAGTGTAATATACCGTTTTTATTGATCTTTTACGATCCCATCATGGTGTTTTTGGCCAGCTGGTTACTCCATTTAAATTTTCACAGTTTGACCTCAATTTCAGTGTCTTCCTAGTAACTCACTAAATCGTTTTTTAGTAATTTGATTTTAACCTGTTGAATGTAGTAAACTAAACCGCTTTGCTTATATATATATATATATATTTTTTTTTTTTTTGCAAAAATCTTGTACTTAAATTGAGCAGAAGTGTTACACTTTGAAATTTGGGCTGCCTTAGTGTTTGGAAATATATTTGTTTTTATTCTCTTTCTTCATTTTTTGCTGCTGTTAAGCCCTATTTAAAATCCTAAGTGCGACCAGCTGTTATTTAAAAGGAATCATTTTTAACAGGTCGTGTTCTAAACTTGTTGCATAAATTTATGGCAGTTTTTCTTGTCGAAGGAAAAAGTAAATGTTTTTAAAAGCTTGTTAACCTCGTAGATATCAATAGCTACATTCGATAGAAGGTCTTGCGGGAAAGCGGTGTGGTGTCGTTTTACCTTTCTTGCTCAAGTTCAGTATCTACTTTGTAGTGGCGACTAAAACCACTGTAGATTTCAACAATCAAAGAAACTTGCGTTGGAGTAAGAAACAGTTCTGTTACTTCATCGCTGCGAAGCATTAGTGCAATTTCAACGGAGCATTCCCCCTCTTAGCCATCAAAGATACTTCTGAATGATAGCGACTTGTAATCCAAGTGTCTTCTAATTAAGACTTCAGAACTAAATCCCTCAGACAGTAAGGAGCCATGTTACACAGGAATAATAATCCAGTAGTCTTATAAGACTCCTCAAAATAGAAATTAAAGTGAAATTTGTATGTTTATGAGTATACCGACATAGCCTTTAACTAGAAGTTTTCCGAACTTCCTTCAGCTATAACGACTGCAAACTACTAAGACTTGGTAATAACCTCCCAAAAAGTCTCCGTTGTACAGTCATAAATCGGCAGTAAATGGAAGCTTAACTTTTTAACCAATTGCAGGGGTCATTTCTGGCACTTCATATTTGGAGGGCCTCTTTACTAGTTAGGATTGTTAATTTTAAAATTTATGTAGAAAAGATACCCAGCAAAAGAACTTAAAAGGATTTTCTACATTTAGGGGCTAAATTTTTCTTCCACGACGCAGTACAGGTGGTGCTGCAACCTTGTCCCATATAACCCTGACTACTTTTACTAATACGTCGCTAGATTTAACGGCCACATCACAAATTAAATCGCCCTACTACCAGACAGTACCCTACTCAAAGGTTAAAGTGACAATGGTTATGCGCTGAAATTCGGTGAAGCGAGGTGCAGAAAATTCGGAAATTTTTTAGACGTTGCTGGGCTGCACATATACCTACCGCTTCGAATAGATGTGAAGGAGATTAAACCCCGTGAACAACAGTTGTACATACACTCTTTGATGAAGATACGCTGTTGCGGCAAGAGAAAAAAATAGCGCCAAAATTTGTTGGAAAATTTGCCGGAAAGGGGTCGAACCGGCGGACGAATTTTATAGTTGAAACGCGCGCGCACGTTTCTTCGCGCAAACGTTGATTTTTTTGAAGTGCGCAAACATTCTTATAAAGCTGAAGAACCTCTCCAACCAATTGGTTTCCTGGGCAAAATTATGTATGACGCTTTTTCTCCTTTTATTTTTTACTTATTTATTTGTTTGTTTTTTTTTCTTTTTCTATTACGCTTACTGGTTCACTTTGGAGTTTTTTCATCACAGTGTTGTTGACAGTGCTTTGATGACAATAACTTTGTGATAAGGTTTTGTGTTCAGGTGTACCTGTCTACAAGAGGTTGTTTCGCAATGGTAAGTGAGATTAGCATCTGCGCAAATGTATTTATTGTGTTTTTATTGGTTGGAAGATATATGCAGTTAAATTAGGCACTCAAAAAAATATATCACTTAACTTTTTGTAGTTTTTGCAATCATACTTTTTTTTTTTGTTATTTTGTCTGTGTATCGCTCAATCTCCTTATATATTATCAAATTTTGGATTATCTAAATTGTTAGTGCTAATAGCTGTTTATTTTAACTTTTTTTTTTTTTTTTTTTTTTTTTTTTT